ACCCGGATTCTAGCGTTGTAAGTCCGCAGACATACCGCTGTGCCACTGGGGGGCCTGAGTGTTGGTATCTTGAGCTCAGCAATTTCCAAAAATGAAGCAGTTAGTTGAGACAACTGTACAACGTGGGATTTGGGCTATTAGGAAGTTTTGGAATTTTCCAGGAATAATGGTTCCTTGTGCTTGTACGTTTGCGTTGTTAACAGAACGAAACAATAGCGTCCGAGAAATATTGTCCATTAAGTCATCAATAGTATCAATTTTATTGAAAACAAAGTAAGAAGTCCAAAAATAATTATTTATTATCAATTTGCTCGTGATATTGTCAAAAAATGAAAAAAGTGATGCTTGGGAAGAATTGTTTTCACTAGCAACAAGGTCATTATTTAATTTCTGTAGTGCATAATGGTGTTTAAAAGGCATTTTAACACTAGTAATAAACGACCTTATATCTCTAAATTTCCTATATTTTCTTTAATTGAACACTCAACGTGTCGCTTTACAGCTTCTTCAGGAACGTTCTATTAAAACACAAACCGTAACTGACAGTACAAACTTCCATTGGAACATTCCTGAAGAAGCTGTAAAGGAAAACGTTGAGTGTCCATTTAAAGTAAAAAAAAAAAGGTGTTATAAGGCATTTTATTACTAGTATTAAATAAATAATGTCCTGGAATATATGTTTATTATTCTATCGTTAGAGTCTGTAAAAATAATTTATAATGTTAGCTCAAAATTTATAATCTTGCCTACACCAGTTGCATTGTGAATAAAAAGAAAGTAACAATTAGGGAAGATTTTTTTGTTATGGCATGACTATTAGCACTGTCTACAATTCAAAATAATAATTTCCAGTAAGAATGTTTCATTATACCCTTTCTTGTGACAATGATAATGAAACAAAGGTAAAACTATCAGGGAATAATTATTTATTATGTCTTTACTTAAGGTTAATGCTTGGTGGAATGTGAACAAAAGCAAAGAAATAGTTATAATATTTATAAGAACTTCTAGGTGAAAGTAAAGAAGAGTACCTAATAACATATTGACCAAACCATATTTGCAATCCAATACCCATGAGACCCTTTCGTCCAATACCAGGGTTCTTCAGGTCGGCTGGAATACGACAGATATAATAGGGGTTGAGAAGTTATTTGTATCAGCAAATTGCTTGAACATGAACTGTTTCGGTGTGATCTGGATTTAGTTGGTGAAGTGTTCTGGTAGCATTATTCATTAGGTCTTTATTAGAGGCAGTGTCAACAAAATCGAGCTGATAGTATATGGAAAGAAGTAATGTTCTTTATGGTTTCAGTTGTGTCGCTAGCAATCAAAACAGTGTAATATTTTCTGAGAAGAATTTTTAACCATGCCGTCGCTAGTGATAATGTCAACATAACCAAGATAATTCACTCCAAAAAGATTTGTTCATTATATCTTCATAAATGGTAATGCCAACAAAAGCAGAGTAATATCACCCGGGAAGA